GGAATCAGGGGAATTTCAGGGAATTCTAGGGGATTTTGGGAAAATCAGGAAAAACAGGGGAGTTTTTTTTTTTGGAAATCCAGATGGGGTGAGGGAATTTTGGGATGCAATTTTGACGATTTGGGGCACTTGGAATTTTGGGGGGCGGGAGGGGGAAGAGAAACCGGGATGGTTTAGGGGAATTTGGGGAGGGAAGGAAATCCCATGGATTGGGATTTGCTTGATTTTTTTTTGGGAATTTGAGGAAAATCGAAACCTCCCTCCCTCCCCCCTTCCCACCCACCTGTTCCCAGCAGGATTTTTCCTGGTTTTCAGCTGATTTTTGGGAATTTCGAAGAGGGGGTTTGTTTGCTCATCCCCTTCCCCCCCCTCTCAGCGCCCCTCCCCTCACCCCAACCCCCCAAAAAAGCACCCCAAAAAAACCTCCCAAACCCCCAAAATAAAAGGGAGGGGAGGGGCCAGGAGGAGGAGCCGAGGGGGTGGGGAGGGGCTGGTGGAGAGTGGGGGAGACTCCCCAATAGGGAGCTTTTTAGGGGGTCGGGGGTTTCCTCCCCCACCTGAGGATTGGCAGGGTGGGAAATGAGGGGGGAGGGGGATGGAGGGAGTGTGGGGGAGGGCAGGGGGGTAAATTGGGGAGCCTCGACCTCCCAAGTGGTACCCTGCTCTCCCAGGTCCCTCCCCGCTGCCGGCGCGGTTAAAGCTCCATTTGGGGGGAGGGAAAAAGGGGGCGGAGGGGCGGGGAGGGGGGGCGGGGGAGGGGCGGAGCGAGCTGTGGGGAGGGGATGGCGATGGCCCCGCCCCACCCACGGGAACAACCCACCCACATTGGAACTCCCAAAAACACTCCGATGGAGCCCCAAATTCCTCCCAACGACCCCCAGGGACCCCCAAAGAAAACACCCCCAAGGACCCCAAAAACAACCCCGGGACCCCCAAAAAATACGGGGACCCCAAAAACCCCCTAAGGACCCCCAAAAACAACGTCGGACCCCCAAAAAACAACCTGAGACCCCCAAAAACAACCGGGACCCCAAATCCCCCAGGACCCCAAATTTCCCCCTCAGGATCCCCCAGGACCCCCTAAACCCCTTTAAGGACCCCCAAACCCTCCCAGATCCCCCAAATCCCTCCCAAGACTCCAAATTTCCACCCCTCGACCCCCAAGAACCCCCAAATCCCCCTCCCAGGATACCCCAACCTCTCCCCCAGATCCCCAAATCCCTCAAGACCCCAAATTTCCACCCCAGACCCCCAAATCCCCCAGGACCCCCAAATCCCCCAAAACCCCCAGATTTCCCCCAGACCCCCAAATCCCCCCAGGACCCCAAATTTCCCCCTCAGGATCCCCATACCCCCTTTTAAGGACCCCCAAACCCCTCCCAGGACCCCCAAATCCCTCCCAGGACCCCCAAAACCCCAAATTTCCACCCCTCGACCCCCAAGACCCCCAAATCCCCTCCCAGGACACCCCCAGCCTCTCCCCAGACCCCCAAATCCCCCCAAGACCTCAAATTTCCACCCCAGACCCCAAGACCACCCCCGACCTCTCAACCCCCCCAGGATCTCCCAATTTTCCCCTCAGGACCTCAAATTTCCACCCCAAGACCCCCAAACTCCACCCAAGACCCCCAAACCCCCCAAAAAAACCCTGCAGGAATTCGGGGTCAGGTCATTTATTGGGATTGGGAGGATTTGGGGAGGGATCGAGGGGTTCCCACTCCCTTTTCTCCTTCCCCTCCCCCCCTTTTTTCCTTTTCCTTTTCCTCTTCCTTTTCCTTTTTTTCCTCTTCCTTTTTTTCCTTTTCTTTTTCCTTTTTTTCCTCTTCCTTTTTCTCCTTTTCCTTTTCTTTTTTTTCCTTTTCTTTTTCCTTTTTCTCTTCCTTTTTTTCCTCTTCCTTTTTTTCCTTTTCCTTTTCCTCCCCCAGCTCCTTCCTCCTCTTCACCTCCCTCCGGAGCCGCTCCAGGAGCAGCCGCGCCGTCGGCTCCAGGCTGTGCTGGAGGGGGGAAAATTGGGAATTTTGGGGGGATTTTGGGAAAATTTGGGGGATTTGGGGAAAGTTTGGGGGATTTTGAGGGATTTGGGGAAGTTTGGAGGATTTTGGGGGAAGTTTGGGGGATTTTGGGGGGATTTTGGTGGATTTAGGGGAAGTTTGGGGGGAGAATTTTAGGGAATTTGGGGGAATTTTGAGGGTTTGGGGGAATCTTTGGGGATTTGGGGGAATATTTGAGGAATTTGGGGAATTTTGGCAGAGAATTTTGGGAATTTGGGCCATTCTTAGAGACGTTTGGAGCCACTTTCAGGGACCATTTTGAGGCCCTTTCAGGGCCATTTTTGGGGCCTTTTTGAAGCCATTTTTGGGCTGTTTTGAGGCCGTTTTTGGGACCATTTTAGGGTCATTTTTAGGACTGTTTCGAGGCCATTTTTGTGGCCGTTTCAGAGCCATTTTTGGGCCTTTTTGGGGTCATTTTTGGGGCAGTTTTTGGGATGGTTTTGGGTCCGTTTTGGGGCCATTTCTGAGCTGTTTTTGGGCCTTTTTGAGGTCATTTTTGGGCTGTTTTGGGCTCATTTTTGGGGCAGTTTTTGGGCTGGTTTTGGGCCTATTTTTGAGGCCGTTTTTGAGGCCCTTTCAGAGCCATTTTTGGGCCATTTTGGGTGGGTTTTGGGGCTGTTTTGGGGCTCATTCTGGGGCAGTTTCAGAGCCATTTTTGGGCCATTTTGAGGCCATTTTTGGGGCTGTTTTGAGGTCATTTTGGGGGTCGTTTCAGAGCCATTTTTGGGCCGTTCTGAGGCCTTTTTTAGGGCCATTTTGGGGCCATTTTGGGGCCCATTTTGGGTTCATTTTTGGGGTGGTTTGAGACGGTTTTTGGGGTGGTTTTTGAGGCAGTTTTGGGGCCATTTTTGGGCCATTTTTGGCACCATTTCAGAGCTGTTTTGGGGTCGTTTTGGGGCCATTTTAAGGCCATTTTTGAGGGGATTTTTTGGGTGATTTTGGGGTGATTTTGGGGTGATTTTGGGGTGTTTTTGAGCCCCCTGACCTGCAGGATGTGTAGCCCCCTGAGGCAGACGACGGCGAGCTCGCTCAGCCCGTCCCATCCCCCGGCAGCTCCAGGGGCCGTTTTGGGGCCGTTTTTGGGCCATTTTTGGGCCGTTTTGGGGCCGTTTTTGGAGCAGTTTTTTTGGCCATTTTTGGGGTGTTTTTGGGGTGTTTTTGGGGTGTTTTTGGGTCTCCTGACCTGCAGGATGTGCAGCCCCCTGAGGCAGACGACGGCGAGCTCGCTCAGCCCGTCCCATCCCCCGGCAGCTCCAGGGGCCGTTTTGGGGTCATTTTTGGAGCAGTTTTTTTGGCCATTTTTGGGGTGATTTTGGGGTAATTTTGGGGTAATTTTGGGGTGTTTTTGGGGTCTCCTGACCTGCAGGATGTGCAGCCCCCTGAGGCAGACGACGGCGAGCTCGCTCAGCCCGTCCCATCCCCCGGCAGCTCCAGGGGCCGTTTTGGGGTCATTTTTGGAGCAGTTTTTGGCCATTTTTGGGGTGATTTTGGGGTAATTTTGGGGTAATTTTGGGGTGTTTTTGGGGTCTCCTGACCTGCAGGATGTGCAGCCCCCTGAAGCAGACGACGGCGAGCTCGCTCAGCCCATCCCATCCCCCGGCAGCTCCAGGGGCCGTTTTGGGGCCGTTTTTGGGCCATTTTTGGGCCGTTTTGGGGCCATTTTTGAGGGGATTTTTTGGGTGATTTTGGGGTGTTTTTGGGGTGTTTTTGGGGTGTTTTTGGGGTGTTTTTGACCCCCCTGACCTGCAGGATGTGCAGCCCCCTGAGGCAGACGACGGCGAGCTCGCTCAGCCCGTCCCCGGTGAGGTCGAGGGGCCGCAGGGCCAGGAGGGGGGAGGGGAAGCGGCGGGACCAGAGGGGGAGGAACTCCCGCCCCTCCCCCCCCGAGTATTTGTAGCACAGCAGCTCCTGCAGGAATGAAAATTAAAATAATAATATTAATAATAATAATAAATAACAATTATTGGGGATTTCGGGGGGGATTCGGGGGGAATTTGGGGGAATTTGGGGGGAATTTGATGGAATTCCAGTGAAATTTGAGGGAATTCGAGAAGAATTTGGTGAAAAGGCTGGGAAATTTTGGGGGGGAATTTGGAGGAATTTGGGGGGAAAAATGGGAATTTTGGGGGAATTCAGGTGAAATTTTACAGAAAAAATTCGAATTTGGGGGAAAAATTGAAAAAATTGGGGGAAAATTGAAGGAATGGGGGGAAATGGAGGGAAAATTGGGGGAAATTAAAAAAAAAAGGTGAAAAAATGGGAAAATTTGGGGGAATTTGGAAAAATTGGGAAAAAGATTCTAAAAAATTGGGGGAAAAAGGGGGGAAAAAATGTGGGGATTAGAGTGGGATTCCAGGGTTTAGGAGGCCCAGAATTCCCAGGATAAGCAGAGCAGGATTCCCAGGATTAGAGGCCCAGAATTCCCAGGCTGAGGAGGCCCAGAATTCCCAGGAAATGCCCACCTGTCCGTGGGTTCCCAGCAGCATTCCCAGGATTAGGAGGGCAGCATTCCCGGGATTTGGAGGCCCAGAATTCCCAGGATAAGCAGGGCAGGATTCCCAGGATTAGGAGGCCCAGAATTCCCAGGAAATCCCCACCTGTCCGTGGGTTCCCAGCAGGATTCCCAGGATTATGAGACCCAGAATTCCCAAGATAAGCAGAGCAGGATTCCCAGGATTAGGAGGCCCAGAATTCCCGGGATTTGGAGGCCCAGCATTCCCAGAAATCCCCACCTGTCCGTAGGTTCCCAGCAGCATTCCCAGGATAAACAAAGCAGCATTCCCAGGATTAGGAGGCCCAGAATTCCCGGGAATTCCCACCTGTCCGTGGGTTCCCAGCAGGATTCCCGGGATTTGGAGGGCAGGATTCCCAGGATTAGGGCGGGATTAGGAGGCCCAGAATTCCCAGGATTTGGAGGCCCAGAATTCCCAGGAATTCCCACCTGTCCGTAGGTTCCCAGCAGGATTCCCGGGATTTGGAGGGCAGGATTCCCAGGATTAGGGCGGGATTAGGAGGCCCAGAATTCCCAGGATTAGGAGGCCCAGAATTCCCAGGATTAGGGCAGGATCAGAATTCCCAGGAATTCCCACCTGTCCGTAGGTTCCCAGCAGGATCTCGGGGGTCCCGTCCAGGTCGACGTCGGCCACGCGGGCGCAAACGACGCTGTCGGAGCCGCGGCTGCCGGGGAGGGAAAACGGGGAATCCAGACCTTGGACAAGGATATTCCTGGAAAATTCCATGGGAATTCCATGGGAATGGGGGTCAGGGGAATCCAGGCCCTGGATCAGGATATTCCTGGAATATTCCATGGGAATTGGGGGTCAGGGAGGGACACCGGGGAATCCAGGCCCTGGATCAGAATATTCCTGGAATATTCCATGGGAATGGGGGTCAGGGAATGCCCAGGAAGGAAACCGGGGAATCCAGGCCTTGGATCAGAATATTCCTGGAATATTCCATGGGAATGGGGGTCAGGGAATGCCCAGGAAGGAAACCGGGGAATCCAGGCCCTGGATCAGGATATTCCTGGGAAAATTCCAGGGGAATTGGGGGTCAGGGAATGCCCAGGAGGGAAACCGGAGAATCCAGGCCCTGGATCAGGATATTCCTGGAAAATTCCAGGGGAATTCCATGGGAATGGGGGTCAGGGAATGCCCAGGAGGGAAACCGGGGAATCCAGGCCCTGGATCAGGATATTCCTGGAAAATCCATGGGAATTCCATGGGAATGGGGGTCAGGGGAATCCAGGCCTTGGACAAGGATATTCCTGGAATATTCCATGGGAATTCCATGGGAATGGGGGTCAGGGGGATTGGAGAAAAAAACTGGGAATTTTGGGGGTAAAATCCCTGGGATTGGGGGGAAAAAAATGGGAATTTTGGGGACAAAATCCCAAGGATTTAGGTGGAAAAAATGGGAATTTTTGGGGACAAACCCCTGGGATTGGGGGGAAAAAAACCTGGGAATTTTGAGGAAGAAAATCCTAGGATTCAGGGGAGAAAAAAAATGGGAATTTTGGGGGCAAAATTCCATGGGAATGGGGGTCAGGGGAATCCAGGCCTTGGATCGGGATATTCCTGGAAAATCCAGGGGAATTCCATGGGAATGGGGGTCAGAGAGGGACACCGGGGAATCCAGGCCCTGGATCAGGATATTCCTGGAATATTCCATGGGAATTCCAGGGGAATGGGGGTCAGGGGAATCCAGGCCCTGGATCAGGATATTCCTGGGAAATTCCATGGGAATGGGGGTCAGGAGCTGTCAGGGAGGGAAACCGGGGAATCCAGGCCTTGGATCAGGATATTCCTGGAAAATTCCATGGGAATTCCATGGGAATGGGGGTCAGGGAGGGAAACCGGAGAATCCAGGCCCTGGATCAGAATATTCCTGGAAAATTCCAGGGGAATTCCATGGGAATGGGGGTCAGGGGAATCCAGGCCTTGGATCAGGATATTCCTGGAAAATCCATGGGAATTCCATGGGAATGGGGGTCAGGGAGGGAAACCGGGGAATCCAGGCCTTGGATCAGGATATTCCTGGAAAATTCCAGGGGAATGGGGGGTCAGGGGGATTGGAGAAAAAAACTGGGAATTTTGGGGGTGAAATCCCGGGATTTGGGGGAAAAAAATGGGAATTTTGGAGGTAAAATCCCAGGATTTAGGGCAAAAAAATGGGAATTTTAGGGGTAAAATCCCAGGATTTTGAGGGAGAAAAAAATGGGAATTTTTGGGGACAAACCCCTGGGATTGGGGGAAAAAAACCTGGGAATTTTGAGGAACAAAATCCAAGGATTTAGGGGGAAAAAATGGGAATTTTGGGGGCAAAATTCCATGGGAATGGGGGTCAGGGGAATCCAGGCCTTGGATCAGGATATTCCTGGAAAATTCCATGGGAATTCCATGGGAATGGGGGTCAGGGAGGGACACCGGGGAATCCAGGCCTTGGATCAGGATATTCCTGGAAAATCCAGGGGAATTCCATGGGAATGGGGGTCAGGAAATGCCCAGGAGGGAAACCGGGGAATCCAGGCCTTGGATCAGGATATTCCTGGAAAACTCCAGGGGAATTCCATGGGAATGGGGGTCAGGGGAATCCAGGCCTTGGATCAGGATATTCCTGGAATATTCCATGGGAATTCCATGGGAATGGGGGTCAGAGGATTGGAGAAAAAACTGGGAATTTTGGGGGCAAAATCCCGGGATTTGGGGGGAAAAAAATGGGAATTTTAGGGGTGAAATCCCAGGATTTTGGGGGAAAAAAATGGGAATTTTAGGGGTAAAATCCCAGGATTTTGGGGGAAACAATGGGAATTTTTGGGGACAAAACCCTGAGATTGGAGGGAAAAAAATGGGAATTTTAGGGGCAAAATTCCATGGGAATGGGGGTCAGGGGAATCCAGGCCCTGGATCAGGATATTCCTGGAATATTCCATGGGAATTCCATGGGAATGGGGGTCAGGGGAATCCAGGCCTTGGACAAGGATATTCCTGGAAAATTCCAGGGGAATGGGGGTCAGGGGGATTGGAGAAAAAACCTGGGAATTTTAGGGGTAAAATCCTGGGATTTGGGGGAAAAAAATGGGAATTTTAGGGGTAAAATCCCAGGATTTTGAGGGGGGGAAAAAAAGGGAATTTTGGGGACAAAACCCTGAGATTGGAGGGAAAAAAATGGGAATTTTAGGGGCAAAATTCCATGGGAATGGGGGTAAGGGGAATCCAGCCCTTGGATCAGGATATTCCTGGGAAATTCCATGGGAATGGGGGTCAGGAGCTGTCAGGGAGGGAAACCGGGGAATCCAGGCCCTGGATCAGGATATTCCTGGAAAATCCATGGGAATTCCATGGGAATGGGGGTCAGAGAGGGACACCGGGGAATCCCGACCTTGGATCAGGATATTCCTGGGAAAATTCCAGGGGAATTCCATGGGAATGGGGGTCAGGGGAATCCAGACCCTGGACAAGGATATTCCTGGAAAATTCCAGGGGAATTCCATGGGAATGGGGGTCAGGGGGATTGGAGAAAAAAACTGGGAATTTTGGGGGTGAAATCCCAGGATTTGGGGGAAAAAAAATGGGAATTTTGGGGGACAAACCCCTGGGATTGGAGGGAAAAAAATTGGGAATTTTAGGGGTAAAATCCCAGGATTTAAGGGGGAAAAAAATGAGAATTTTGGGGACAAACCCCTGGAATTGGAGGGAAAAAAATGGGAATTTTAGGGGTAAAATCCTAGGATTTTGAGGGGGAAAAAAATGGGAATTTTGGGGGCAAAATTCCATGGGAATGGGGGTCAGGGGAATCCAGGCCTTGGATCAGGATATTCCTGGGAAATTCCAGGGGAATTCCATGGGAATGGGGGTCAGGGGAATCCAGGCCTTGGATCAGGATATTCCTGGAATATTCCAGGGGAATTCCATGGGAATGGGGGTCAGGGGGATTGGAGAAAAAAACTGGGAATTTTGGGGGTAAAATCCCGGGATTTTGGGGGAAAAAAAATGGGAATTTTGGGGGCAAACCCCTGGAATTGGAGGGAAAAAAATGGGAATTTTAGGGGCAAAATCCCAGGATTTAGGGGGAAAAAATGGGAATTTTGGGGGCAAAATTCCATGGGAATGGGGGTCAGGGGAATCCAGGCCTTGGACAAGGATATTCCTGGGAAATTCCAGGGGAATTCCATGGGAATGGGGGTCAGGGAGGGACACCGGGGAATCCAGGCCTTGGATCAGGATATTCCTGGAAAATTCCATGGGAATTCCATGGGAATGGGGGTCAGGGGAATCCAGGTCTTGGACAAGGATATTCCTGGAAAATTCCAGGGGAATTCCATGGGAATGGGGGTCAGGGGGATTGGAGAAAAAAACTGGGAATTTTGGGGGTGAAATCCTGGGATTGGGGGAAAAAATGGGAATTTTGAGGAACAAAATCCCAGGATTTAGGGGGAAAAAAATGGGAATTTCTGAGGACAACCCCCTGGGATTGGGGGAAAAAAACCTGAGAATTTTGAGGAACAAAATCCTAGGATTTAGGGGGAAAAAATGGGAATTTTGGGGGCAAAATTCCATGGGAATGGGGGTCAGGGAGGGACACCGGGGAATCCAGGCCTTGGACAAGGATATTCCTGGGAAATTCCAGGGGAATTCCATGGGAATGGGGGTCAGGGGGATTGGAGAAAAAACCTGGGAATTTTAGGGGCAAAATCCCAGGATTTTAGGGGGGAAAAAAATGGGAATTTTGGGGACAAACCCCTGAAATTCGAGGGAAAAAAATGGGAATTTTAGGGGCAAAATCCCAGGATTTTAGGGGGAAAAAATGGGAATTTTGGGGTCAAACCCCCAGGATTGGAGGAGGAAAAAAAGGGAATTTTAGGGGCAAAATCCCAGGATTGGAGAGGAAAAAAATGGGAATTTTGGGGGACAAAACCCTGAGATTGGAGGGAAAAAAATGGGAATTTTAGGGGTAAAATTCCATGGGAATGGGGGTCAGGGGAATCCAGGCCCTGGATCAGGATATTCCTGGAAAATTCCAGGGGAATTCCATGGGAATGGGGGTCAGGGAGGGACACCAGGGAATCCAGGCCTTGGATCAGGATATTCCTGGAAAATCCAGGGGAATTCCATGGGAATGGGGGTCAGGGGAATCCAGGCCTTGGATCAGGATATTCCTGGAAAATTCCATGGGAATGGGGGTCAGGGGGATTGGAGAAAAAAACTGGGAATTTTGGGGGTAAAATCCTGGGATTGGGGGGAAAAAAATGGGAATTTTGGGGACAAAATCCCAGGATTTAGGTGGAAAAAATGGGAATTTTTGGGGACAAACCCCTGGAATTGGAGGGAAAAAAACCTGGGAATTTTGAGGAACAAAATCCTAGGATTTGGGGGGAAAAAAAATGGGAATTTTAGGGGTAAAATCCCAGGATTTAGGGGGAAAAAATGGGAATTTTTGGGGACAAACCCCCAGGATTGGAGGAGAAAAAAAAGGGAATTTTAGGGGCAAAATCCCAGGACTTTAGGGGGAAAAAATGGGAATTTTGAGGGTAAAATCCCAGGATTGGAGGGAAAAAAATGGGAATTTTGGGGGGGAAAAAATGGGAATTTTAGGGGCAAAATCCCAGGATTTTGGGGGAAAAATGGGAATTTTGGGGGACAAACCCCTGAGATTGGGGGGAAAAAAATTGGAATTTTTTGGGGAAAAATCCAAGGATTTAGGGGGAAAAAAATGGGAATTTTGGGGGCAAAATTCCATGGGAATGGGGGTCAGGGGAATCCAGGCCTTGGATCAGGATATTCCTGGGAAATTCCAGGGGAATTCCATGGGAATGGGGGTCAGGGAGGGAAACCGGGGAATCCAGGCCCTGGATCAGGATATTCCTGGAAAATTCCAGGGGAATTCCATGGGAATGGGGGTCAGGGGGATTGGAGAAAAAAACTGAGAATTTTGGGGGTAAAATCCTGGGATTTAGGGGAAAAAATGGGAATTTTGGGGGCAAAATTCCATGGGAATGGGGGTCAGGGGAATCCAGACCTTGGACAAGGATATTCCTGGAAAATTCCATGGGAATTCCATGGGAATGGGGGTCAGGGGGATTGGAGAAAAAACCTGGGAATTTTGGGGTAAAATCCCGGATTTTGGGGGAAAAAATAGAATTTTGGGGCAAACCCTGGAATTGGAGGGAAAAATGGAATTTTAGGGCAAAATCCCAGGATTTAGGGGAAAATGATAGAATTTTGGGGGCAAAATTCCATGGGAATGGGGGGTCAGGGGAATCCAGACCCTGGATCAGGATATTCCTGGGAAATTCCAGGGGAATTGGGGTCAGGGAGGGAAACCGGGGAATCCAGGCCTTGGATCAGGATATTCCTGGAAAATTCCAGGGGAATGGGGGTCAGGGGAATCCAGGCCTTGGATCAGGATATTCCTGGAATATTCCATGGGAATGGGGGTCAGGGAGGGAAACCGGGGAATCCAGACCTTGGACAAGGATATTCCTGGAAAATTCCATGGGAATTCCATGGGAATGGGGGTCAGGGGGATTGGAGAAAAAACCTGGGAATTTTGGGGGTAAAATCCCGGATTTGGGGAAAAAAATGGGAATTTTGAGGCAAACCCTGGAATTGGAGGAAAAAAATGGAATTTTAGGGCAAAATCCCAGGATTTAGGGGAAAAAATGGGAATTTTGGGGGCAAAATTCCATGAATGGGGGTCAGAATCCAGGCCTTGGACAAGGATATTCCTGGGAAATTCCAGGGGAATTCCATGGGAATGGGGGTCAGGGAGGGACACCGGGGAATCCAGGCCTTGGATCAGGATATTCCTGGAAAATCCAGGGAATGGGGGTCAGGGGATTGGAGAAAAACTGGGAATTTTGGGGGTGAAATCCCAGGATTTGGGGGAAAAAATGGGAATTTTGGGGAAAACCCTGGGATTGGGGGGAAAAAACCCTGGGAATTTTGAGGGCAAAATCCCAGGATTTAAGGGGGAAAAAAAAGGGGAATTTTGAGGACAAACCCCTGGGATTGGAGGGAAAAATGGGAATTTTAGGGGCAAACCCCTGAGATTGGGGAAAAACCTGGGAATTTTGAGGAACAAAATCCTAGGATTTAGGGGGAAAATGGGAATTTTAGGGGTAAAATCACAGGATTTTGGGCAAAAATAGAATTTTGAGGACAAACCCCAGGATTGGAGGTAAAAAACCTGGGAATTTTGAGGAACAAAATCCTAGGATTTAGGGGGAAAAAAATGGGAATTTTGGGGGTAAAATTCCATGGGAATGGGGGTCAGGGGGATTGGAGAAAAAAACTGGGAATTTTGGGGACAAATCCAGGATTTTGGGGGGGAAAAAATGGGAATTTTAGGGGTAAAATCCCAGGATTTAGGGGGAAAAAAATGGGAATTTTGAGAACAAACCCCTGAGATTGGGGGGAAAAAAACCTGGGAATTTTGAGGAAGAAAATCCTAGGATTTAGGGGGAAAAAAATGGGAATTTTTGGGGACAAAATCCAAGGATTTAGGGGGAAAAAATGGGAATTTTGGGGGCAAAATTCCATGGGAATGGGGGTCAGGGGAATCCAGGCCTTGGATCAGGATATTCCTGAAAAATTCCAGGGGAATTCCATGGGAATGGGGTCAGGAGGGGCACCGGGGAATCCAGGCCTTGATCAGGATATCCTGGAATATTCCAGGAATTCCATGGAATGGGGGTCAGGATTGGAGAAAAAAACTGGGAATTTTGGGGGCAAAATCCTGGGATTAGGGGGAAAAAAAATGGGAATTTTTGGGGACAAACCCCTGGGATTGGAGGGAAAAAAATGGGAATTTTAGGGGTAAAATCCCAGGATTTTGGGGGAAAAAATGGGAATTTTTGAGAACAAACCCCTGAGATTGGGGGGAAAAAACCCTGGGAATTTTGAGGAACAAAATCCTAGAATTTAGGGGGAAAAAATGGGAATTTTGGGGGCAAAATTCCATGGGAATGGGGGTCAGGGGAATCCAGGCCCTGGATCAGGATATTCCTGGAAAATTCCATGGGAATTCCATGGGAATGGGGGTCAGGGGAATCCAGCCCTTGGATCAGGATATTCCTGGGAAATTCCAGGGGAATTCCATGGGAATGGGGTCAGGGGGATTGGAGAAAAAAACTGGGAATTTTGGGGGCGAAATCCTGGGATTTGGGGGAAAAAAATGGGAATTTTGGGGGACAAACCCCCAGGATTGGAGGTAAAAAACCTGGGAATTTTGAGGAACAAAATCCTAGGATTTAGGGGGAAAAAAATGGGAATTTTAGGGGCAAAATCCCAGGATTTTGGAGGGAAAAAAAGGGAATTTTGGGGGACAAACCCCCAGGATTGGAGAGAAAAAAATGGGAATTTTGGGGGTAGAATCCCAGGATTTTGGGGGGAGGAAAAGGCCTCCCCACCTGTAGACGACGGCGGCCTCGAGGGCGCTGCTCACCAGGAGGCTCCAGGAACCCTCAGGACCACCTGGAATTAAAAACCCAAAAATTCCCTGGGAATTCTGAGCTTTTCCTTGGAATCCTGAGGGCTTTTCCCGTGCAGAATTCCAAGGTTTTTTGGGAATTTTGGGGGGTTTTTTTTCCTTACTTTCAGGCTCCGGGGGCAGCGGGAAAAGCAGCACGGACGAGATGGGCCCGTCCTGCTGGAGGCTCCAGCTCTGCAGGATGGCTGGGAATTCCAGGGAATTCCGGGAATTCCGGGGGTTCCAGGAGGGAAAAAAAGGGGGAAAAGGATCAGGGATCTCCCTCTTCTTTCCTCACCCCCCCCGGGGTCAAACTGGGGCAAACTGGGATAAACTGGGGCTGGGGAGGGGGGAATTTAAGGGGTTTTTTCCAGGGAAAATGTGGAATTCAGGCTGGGATCAACTGGGATCCAACTGGGATCAAACTGGGATCAAACTGGGATCCAACTGGGATCCAAGTGGGAGCAAACTGGGATAAAAACTGGGACTAAACTGGGATAAACTGGGGCTGGGGAGGGGGGAATTTAAGGGGGGTTTTTCCAGGGAAAATGTGGAATTCAGGCTGGGATCAACTGGGATCCAACTGGGATTAAACTGGGATCAAACTGGGATAAACTGGGATAAACTGGGATTAAATTGGGGTCCAACTGGGATAAACTCGGATAAAAACTGGGATAAACTGGGATAAACTGGGGCTGGGGAGGGGGGAATTTAAGGGGGGTTTTCCAGGGAAAATGTGGAATTCAGGCTGGGATCAAACTGGGATTAAAATGGGATCAAACTGGGAGCAAACTGGGATCAAACTGGGATAAAAACTGGGATCCAACTGGGATAAACTGGGGCTGGGGAGGGGATTCCAGGGGGGAATTTAAGGGGGGTTTTCCAGGGAAAAATGTGGAATTAAACTGGGATCCAAACTGGGATTAAACTGGGATCAAAGTGGGATCCAACTGGGATCAAACTGGGATTGGGGAGGGGATGTCAGGGGGGAATTTAAGGGGGGGTTTCCAGGGAAAATGTGGAATTCAGGCTGGGATTAACTGGGATCAAACTGGGATAAACTGGGATTGGGGAGGGGATGCCAGGGGGGAATTTAAGGGGGATTTTCCAGGGAAAAATGTGGAATTAAACTGGGATCCAAACTGGGATTAAACTGGGATCCAACTGGGATCCAACTGGGATCCAACTGGGATAAAAACTGGGATCAAACTGGGGCTGGGGAGGGGGGAATTTAAGGGGGTTTTTTCCAGGGAAAATGTGGAATTCAGGCTGGGATTAAACTGGGATTAAACTGGGATCCAACTGGGATCAAACTGGGAATAAACTGGGGTAAACTGGGATCAAACTGGGATTAAATTGGGATCAAACTGGGATTGGGGAGGGGACTCCAGGGGGGAATTTAAGGGGGGTTTTCCAGGGAAAATGTGGAATTCAGGCTGGGATCAACTGGGATTAAACTGGGATCAAACTGGGATCCAAATGGGATAAACTGGGATCAAACTGGGAGCAAACTGGGATAAACTGGGGCTGGGGAGGGGATGCCAGGGGGGAATTTAAGGGGGATTTTCCAGGGAAAAATGTGGAATTAAACTGGGATCCAAGCTGGGATTAAACTGGGATCAAACTGGGATTAAACTGGGATCCAAGTGGGATCCAACTGGGATCCAGGGGCTCTGGGGGAGGTGTGGGGGGTAATTCCAGGTGGGAATTGGAAGATTTTTCCAAGGAAAAACATGGAATTTGGGGCCGGAGCCACCTCAGGATCCACTTCCAGCTCCATCCTGGGGGGATAAACTGGGCCAAACTGGGAAGAACTGGGATAAACTGGGATCCTCTGACACTGGGGGAGGTGTGGGGGGTGATTCCAGGTGGGAATTGGGTTTTTTTTTCCAAGAAAAACATGGAATTCAGGCTGGGATGGGGCTGGGACGAGCCCGGAGTCGCTTCCAGCTCCATCCCAGTGGGACAAACTGGGAAAAATCAGGATGAACTGGGATCAACTGGGATAAACTGGGCCAAACTGGGATCCTCTGGCTCTGGGGGAGGTGTGGGGGGTAATTCCAGGTGGGAATTGGGTTGTTTTTTCCAAGGAAAAACATGGAATGGAGGCTGGGATGGAGCTGGGACGAGCCCGGAGTCGCTTCCAGCTCCATCCCAGTGGGATAAAATGGGAATAAACTGGGCCAAACTGGGGTAAACTGGGATCCAGGGGCACTGGGGGAGTTTGGGGGGGTAATTCCAGGTGGGAATTGGGTTTTTTTTCCAAGGAAAAACATGGAATAGGGGCTTGGATGGGGCTGGAGAGGACGTGGGATGAGCCCGGAGTCGCTTCCAGCTCCATCCCAGTGGGAAAAATGGGATTAAACTGGGAATAAACTGGGATCAAACTGGGGTAAACTGGGATCCTGGGGCACTGAGGAGGGTCAGGGGGTGATTCCAGGTGGGAATTGGGGGGGTTTTCCAAGGAAAAACATGGAATGGAGGCTGGGATGGGGCTGGGACGAGCCCGGAGTCGCCTAGCCCATCCCAGTGGGATAAACTGGGAATAAACTGGCCAAACTGGGCTGAACTGGCCAAACTGGGATGAACCGATCCTGGGGTTCTGGGGAGGTGTGGGGGGTAATTCCAGGTGGGAATTTAAGGGTTTTTTTTCCAAGGAAAAACATGGAATTCGGGGTTGGAGCCACTTCAGGATCCACTTCCAGCTCCATCCTGGGGGGATAAACTGGGAATAAACTGGGATAAACTGGGGTAAACTGGGATCCAGGGGCAGTGGGGGAGGTGTGGGGGGTGATTCCAGGTGGGAATTGGGGGTTTTTTTTCCAAGAAAAACATGGAATGGAGGCTAGGATGGGGCTGGGATGAGCCTGGAGTCGCTTCCAGCTCCATCCCAGTGGGAAAAATGGGAATAAACTGGGATAAACTGGGCCAAACTGGGCTGAACTGGGGTAAACTGGGATCCTGGGGCTCTGGGGAGGTGTGGGGGGTAATTCCAGGTGGGAATTGGGGGGGTTTTCCAAGGAAAAACATGGAATGGACAAGGAAAAACATGGAATGGAGGCTGGGATGGGGCTGGGACGAGCCCGGAGTCGCTTCCAGCTCCATCCCAGTGGGACAAACTGGGACAAACTGGGCCAAACTGGGCTGAACTGGGATCCAGGGGCTCTGGGGGAGGTGTGGGGGGTAATTCCAGGTGGGAATTGGGGTTTTTTTCCAAGGAAAAACATGGAATGGAGGCTGGGATGGGGCTGGGACGAGCCCGGAGTCGCTTCCAGCTCCATCCCAGTGGGATAAACTGGGAATAAACTGGGCCAAACTGGGCTGAACTGGGCCAAACTGGGATGAACCGGCATCCTGGGGTTCTGGGGGAGGTGTGGGGGGTAATTCCAGGTGGGAATTTAAGGGTTTTTTTTCCAAGGAAAAACACGGAATGGAGGCTGGGATGGGGCTGGGACGAGCCTGGAGTTGCTTCCAGCTCCATCCCAATGGGATAAACTGGGAATAAACTGGGCCAAACTGGGGTAAACTGGGCTGAACTGGGATCCAGAGGCACTGGGGGAGGTGTGGGGGGGTGATTCCAGTTGGGAATTGGGTTTTTTTTCCAAGGAAAAACATGGAATGGAGGCTGGGATGGGGCTGGGATGAGCCTGGAGTTGCTTCCAGCTCCATCCCAGTGGGATCAACTGGGAATAAACTGGGATAAACTGGGCCAAACTGGGCTGAACTGGGATTCTGGGGCACTGGGGGAGTTTGAGGGAGTAATTCCAAGTGGGAATTGGAAGATTTTTCCAAGGAAAACCAGGAATTCGGGGCCAGAGCCACCTCAGGATCCACATCCAGCTCCATCCCGGGGGGATAAACTGGGAATAAACTGGGCCAAACTGGGGTAAACTGGGATCCTTGGGCTCTGGGGGAGGTGTGGGGGGTGATTCCAGGTGGGAATTGGGTTTTTTTTTCCAAGAAAAACATGGAATGGAGGCTGGGATGGGGCTGGGACGAGCCTGGAGTCGCTTCCAGCTCCATCCCAGTGGGATAAACTGGGATAAACTGGGCCAAACTGGGCTGAACTGGGATCCAGGGGCCCTGGGGGAGGTGTGGGGGGTAATTCCAGGTGGGAATTGGGGGGGTTTTTTCCAAGGAAAAACATGGAATGGAGGCTGGGATGGGGCTGGGACGAGCCCGGAGTCGCTTCCAGCTCCATCCCAGTGGGATAAACTGGGAATAAACTGGGATAAACTGGGCCAAACTGGGCTGAACTGGGATCCAGGGGTACTGGGGGAGTTTGAGGGGGTAATTCCAAGTGGGAATTGGAAGATTTTTCCAAGGAAAACCAGGAATTCAGGGCCAGAGCCACCTCAGGATCCACATCCAGCTCTATCCCGGGGGGATAAACTGGGAATAAACTGGGATAAACTGGGCCAAACTGGGCTGAACTGGGGTAAACTGGGATCCTGGGGCTCTGGGGGAGGTGTGGGGGGTAATTCCAGGTGGGAATTGGGGTTATTTTCCAAGGAAAAACATGGAATGGACAAGGAAAAACATGGAATGGAGGCTGGGATGGGGCTGGGACGAGCCCGGAGTCGCTTCCAGCTCCATCCCAGTGGGATAAACTGGGAATAAACTGGGAATAAACTGGGCCAAACTGGGGTAAACTGGGATCCAGGGGTACTGGGGGAGTTTGGGGGGTAATTTCAAGTGGGAATTGGAAGATTTTTCCAAGGAAAAACATGGAATAGGGGCTTGGATGGGGCTGGAGAGGACGTGGGATGAGCTCGGAGTCGCTTCCAGCTCCATCCCAGTGGGATAAACTGGAAATAAACTGGGATAAACTGGGCCAAACTGGGCTGAACTGGGATCCTGGGGCACTGGGGAGGGTCAGGGGGGTAATTCCAGTTGGGAATTCCCTCTGGAATGTCGGGAAGGCACCTCTGGAGTCCTCCTGGACGCGGGCGACGCGCACGAAGCCGCTGTGGCAGCCGAGGGCCGAGAGGCGGTGACGGGAACCGGGCAGGGGTTGGACATCCAGCCACAAAACACTGGGAAAAATAACAGGGAAAAATGGGAATTCTGGGAATTCTGGGAAGGATGGGAAGGGTGGGAAAGGTGGGAGGGAAAAGGGGGTTTTTTAGGGGTTTTTTTTGGGGGGTTTTGGGGGAGCCTGGGAGGGTCAGAGAGGCGGTGACGGGAACCGGGCAGGGTTGACATCCAGCCACAAAACACTGGGAAAACGGGAAAATATGGGAATGTTGGGAATTCTGGGAGTCTGGGAATGGTGGGAAAACGGGAAGGGTAGGAGGGAAAAGGGGGCTTTAAGGGGGTTTTTTAGGGTTTTTGGGGGTTTGTGGGTGACGGAACTGGCAGGGGCTGGACATCCAGCCACAAACACTGGGAAAATGGGAAAATGGGAAAAATGGGAAAAAATGGGAATTCTGGGAATGCTGGGAGTCTGGGAATGGTGGGAATGTTGGGAAGGAAAAGGGGCTTTTTAGGGGTTTTTTAGGGGTTTTGGGGGTTTGGGGGAGCCTGGGAGGGTCAGAGAGGCGGTGACGGGAACCGGGCAGGGGCTGGACATCCAGCCACAAAACACTGGGAAAAATGGGAAAAAAATGGGAATTCTGGGAATTCTGGGAGTCTGAGAAGGATGGGAAGGGTGGGAGGGAAAAGAGGGAGTTTTTTAGGGGTTTTTTGGGGGGGTTTTGGGGAGCCCTGGGAGGTTTGGGAGAGGTTGGACATCCAGCCACAGAACACTGGGAAAAATGGGAAAAAATGGGAAAAAAATGGGAAAAAATGGGAAAAAATGGGAATTCTGGGAATTCTGGGAAGGATGGGAATGGTGGGAGGGAAAAGGGGGATTTTTTGGGGGGTCAGGGAGACTTTTTGGGGGGGTTTGGATGTCCAGCCACAAAACACTGGGAAAAACAGGAAAAAATGGGAAAAAAATGGGAATTCTGGGGATTTTGGAATTCTGGGAATGTTGGGAATGTTGGGAATGTTGGGAAGGAAAAGGGGGACCCCAAAAAGGGGGGACTCACTTGCTGGGGACGTGCTGGAGCTCCGGGAAGAGCAACTGGATCGGCTGCTCCTCAAACTGGTGAGACGAGGAATTCTGGGAATGGGGAAATTGGGAAAATTGGGGAGAAAATTGGGAAAATGAGGGGGAAAATTGGGAAAAAATAGGGAAATTGGGGGGAAATGGGGGGAAAAATGGGGGGAAATTGGGAAAAGTGAGAGGGAAAATGAGGGGGAATTGGGAAATGAGGGGAAAATTGGGAAAATGGGGGAAATTGGGAAAAAATTGGGGAAAATGGGGGGAAAAATGAGAGAAAATTGGGAAAATGAGGGAAAAATTGGGGAAAATGGAGGAATTGGGAAAATGAGAGGAAAAATTGGGAAAATGAGGGGGAAAATGGGGAAAATTGGGAAAATGAGGGGAAATTGGGAAAATGAAGGGAAAATTGGGGGAAAATTGGGAAAATGAGGGGAAAATTGGAAAAATGGGGGGAAAATTGGGGAAAATGAGGGGAATTGGGAAAATGAGGGAATGGGAAATGAGGGAATGGGGGAAAATTGGGAAATTTGGGGGAAATTGGGGAAAATGAGGGGAAATGAGAAAATGAGGGAAAATTAGGGAAAATGAGGGGAATGAGGGGAAAATGAGGGGAAAATTGGGAAAAATGAGAGGAAAACGAGGGGGAAATTGGGGAAAATGAGGGGAAAATGAGGGGAAATTGGGAAAATGAGGGGGAATTGGGAAAAATGAGGGGGAATTGGGGGGAAAATTGGGAAAAATGAGAGAAAAATTGGGAAAAATGAGGGGGAAATTGGGAAAATGAGAGAGAATTTGGGAAAATGAGAGGGAATTTGGGAAAAATGGGGGGGAATTGGGAAAATGAGGGGGAAAAAGGGGAAAAATGAGGGGAAATTGGGAAAATAAGGGGGAAAAAGGGGAAAAATGAGGGAAATTGGGAAAATGAGGGGGAAAATTGGGAGAAATGAGGGGAAAATTGGGAAAAATGAGGGAAAATTGGGAAAAATGAGAGAAAAATTGGGGAAAATGAGAGAAAAATTGGGAAAAATGAGGGGGAAAAATGGGGGGAAATTGGGAAAATGAGGGGAAAATTGGGAAAAGTGAGGAGGAAAATTGGGAAAATGAGGGGGAATTGGGAGAAATGAGGGGAAAATTGGGAAAAATGAGGGGAAATTTGGGGAAAATGAGGGGAAATTGGGAAAAACGAGGGGAAATTGGGAAAATGAGGGGGAAATTGGGGGGAAAATTGGGAAAAATGAGGGGAAAATTGGAGAAAATGAGGGGGAAAATTGGGAAATGGGTCGGGGGGTGAGTTCTGAGGATATTTTGGGGTATTTTTGGAGGATTTTTGGATAATTTGGGGTGATTTTGGGATATTTTGGGATATTTTTGGAGGATTTTGGAGCTTTTTGGGGTGACTTTGGGATATTTTGGGGTATTTTTGGAGAATTTTGGGGTATTTGGGGGTGATTTTGGGATATTCTGGGGTATTTTTGGGATATATTGGGGTATTTTTGGAGGATTTTGGGGTATTTTTGGATGATTTTTGGAAATTTTGGGGTGTTTTTGGGATATTTTGGGATATTTTTGGAGGATTTTTAAATATTTTGGGGGTGATTTTGGGATATTTTGGGGTATTTTTGGATGTTTTTTGGATATTTTGGGGTGTTTTAAGGTGATTTTGGGGTATTTTTGGATGGTTTTTGGATATTTTTTGATGATATTTTTATTTTTTGGGGTTATTTAAGGTGATTTTGGGATATTTTGGGGTGATTTAGGGCTCTCACCTCCCTGTAAAGGTGGCTGGCAGGGTCAATCCCACTGAGCAGGAACAGGGGGGGATTTAGGGCTGGGTTGGGGGATTTTTGGATGATTTTGGGGTATTTTTGGATGATTTTTTTATATTTTGGGGTATTTTGGGATATTTTGGGGTATTTTTGGAGGACTTTTAAATATTTTGGGGTGATTTTGGGATATTTTGGGGTATTTTTGGATGATTTTTGGATATTTTGGGTTGTTTTTGGGATATTTTGGGGTGTTTTTGGGTGATTTTTGGATATTCTGGGGTATTTTTGGAGGACTTTTAAATATTTTGGGGTGATTTTGGGATATTTTGGGGTATTTTTTGAGGCTTTTGGGGTGTTTTGGGGTGATTTTGGGATATTTTGGGGTATTTTTTGAGAATTTTTAAATATTTTGAGGTGATTTTTGGGATATTTTGGGGTATTTTTTGAGGCTCTTTGGGTATTTTGGGGTGATTTTGGGATATTTTGGGGTATTTTTGGATGATTTTGGATATTTTTTGATGATTTTTTTATATTTTAGGGTTATTTTGGGGTAATTTGGGATGTTTTTAAGCTCTCACCTCCCTGTAAAGGTGGCTGGCAGGGTCATTCCCACTGAGCAGGAACAGGGGGGGATTTAGGGCTGGGTTGGGGGATTTGGGGTATTTTTGATTTGATGTATTTTGATATTTTAGGGTTATTTTTGGATATTTTGGGGTGATTTAGGGGTCTCACCTCCCTATAAAGATGGATGGCAGGGTCATTCCCACTGAGCAGGAACAGGGGGGGATTTTTGGATGATTTTGGGGTATTTTGGGGTATTTTTGGATACTTTGGGGTATTTTTGGATGATCTTTTTATATTTTAGGGTTATTTTTGGATATTTTAGGGTGTTTTTAGGCTCTCACCTCCCTGTAAAGATGGATAGCAGGGTCATTCCCACTGAGCAGGAACAGGGGGGGATTTAGGGCTGGGTTGGGGGGATTTTGGGGTGTTTTTTGGATATTTTGGGGTGTTTTTAGGCTCTCACCTCCCTGTAAAGATGGATAGCAGGGTCATTCCCACTGAGCAGGAACACGGTCTCCTGGTGCTCCCCCACCTGGACCCTGGAGGGGGGAATTTTGGGTGGAATTTTTGGGGCTTAGGATTTTGGGAAGTCCAGGATTTTTGGGGTCCCCTGAGTCTCTGGGGGGTCCCCAGGGTTTTTTTGGGGGTCTGGGGGGCACTTACTGGGCGTGGCAGAGGTGGAGGGGTGAAGCTGAAGCTCCAGGTTCAGGCAGCTCTCTGGGGGAGGGGACAAAAGGGGGTCAGGGACCATTTTGGGGGTCAGGGACAATTTTGGGGGTCAGGGACAATTTTTGGGGGCTTGGGGTCAGGACAATTTTTGGGGGGCTGGGACCATTTTTGGGGGGCTTGGGGGTTTGTTCAGGCAGCTCTCTGGGGGAGGGGAGAAAAGGGGGTCAGGGACCATTTTTGGGGGTCAGGGACCATTTTTGGGGGTTTGGGGGTCAGGGACCCTTTTTGGGGGCTTGGTGGGTTTTGGGGGTTCTGGGGGTCAGGGACAATTTTTGGGGGATCAGGGACCATTTTGGGGGCTTGGGGTTTGTTCAGGCAGCTCTGTGGGAGGGAGAAAACGGGGGTCAGGGACCCTTTGGGGATCAGGGACCATTTTTGGGGGCTGGGACCCTTTTGGGAGCTTGGGGGTCAGGGACCCTTTTGGGGGCTGGGGAGATTTGGGGGTTCTGGGGGTCAGGGACCATTTTTGGGGGGTTTAGGAGGGGTTTGGGGGCTTGGGGGTTTGTTCAGGCAGCTCTCTGGGGGAGGG